CCCTTTCAACATCAACCTCTCTGATGCTTTGTCTGCATCTTGTTTAAGTCTGACCTTAATTCTGGCTTTTCCCATGCATGTTTCCCCACGAGGCATTGCTTGAGAGGCTTGAAAACAAAGTACCTGTTCCTGAATCCAAGGAGTATCACAGCAGAAACTCTACTTTGCATTTCCAAGAATCAGGCCCATTGTCCTTAGCACCAGGACCAAACCTCAGCTGCTATTTACCCTGCAGCTTGCAGAGATCAGCCAAACATTTGGGCAGCAGCTCTAAGTCTGTATGACTTAAGAAGCAGAAATGTTAAACGCTGTAAACAAAAATCTTGGAGGTATTTAAACTTTCTGATAAGAAAATCTGTAGGTAGGAATTATTTTTTTTTTCCTGGCTACCACAATGGTTTTAAATTCTGTTAATGTTTTCTCTACGCCCTGCTGAGAATCCCTCCACTTTCCTGTCCAGCGTGGCAGCCACTGCAGACAATGAAGTGATTGTAATGTTGGAAAAGCAACAGATGAAGATGGATGAAGTGCCTGGTCTTAACCCTCTGCGTGTTTGTGTGTGTGCCTGTGAAAGGGAGAGGTGAGAGCAAACCTGAGCATTGGATACCCTTATCCTTTATGTGATATCCCATGACCTCAGAAAGGTAATTTCTACCACTAGGGATAGTTTGGTGGCCCTTCCAGCACAGAACTGGGTCTTGCAGCCTCCTCCTGGGAGAGCATGTTGGCTGCAGCCCAGTCCTGGGTGTACAGAAGAGGTGCTGAAGCGCCTGGTTGAGCCGTGGCCAGAGGATTTTTCCTTTGGACAGAAAAAAAAATAAATCCAAATTCCTGTGTAGAGCTGGAGAGGAATTTTCAGCTAGAAAATGTGATTTCTACAGAATCAGAAGTTTCCATGGGAAACTATCACTTTCAACAGAAGAGTTCAGATGTTTCCACTGGCAGAAATGAGGTGAAATGGTGTGAATTGATTGACCCTGATCTGAACTGTTCCCTCTGTTAAAAAGACCTGAACCAGTTTATCTAAAGCTGTTTCCCTGCCGTGGTAGTGACTCTTTTTTATATATAGAAACATTGTTCTTATGAAAACTTTTAAATTTTTTACCTTTAATTCCCATGTACAGTGAAAATGGATTCTGAATTACGTAGCTTTTCCAAGCAGCAGGAATGTGTGACGGCTTTCTGCTCTAACCAAAGCTCTTTAAACTTTTAACTCTTAGGTTAGGGTTAATTAATTTAACTTTTCTGTTAATATTTCCATGCTTGAATGCAATTTTTAGAATCAAATGTTCTAATTCAGCTGTATTTCCAGGAATGTCTTGCACTCTCTGTTAGCTGTAACTCCATTTAGACTGTATTTACTCTTGAAAAGATTTATTAGGTTTAATTCACCTTCTCTTCCACCTTGTGAACATCAGAGGCAGCTCTGCTGAACTCAGAGGAGTTACTTTCAGTTGTGGGAAACATCAATCATGTAACTGGAAAAACAGGTGAACTAATTTTGAGACAAGCAGCATATATTTTAATGTAAATTGCTGTTAAAATGTTATTATCTTAAAATGCAATGGTCAATAGGTGGAGACAGCAGAAATTTATGATGAAATGATTATTTTTTATAACATTTCATTTTTTTCCTTAGGTGGAAAAGGAACATAATCAGCAAAACACAGGGTAGCAGCAGGCAGCTCAATTAAAAAATCAAAATATTAGCCTATATGAAACTGGGCATTTCTCCAAATTATTCTTTTACCTGGCAGAAAAATTATTTATTTTCCACCTAGCTTTATTTAAGGCTGTATTTGCTTAGGGATTGACTGAAATACACTCTTAAGTATTCTGAGAAAGCATCTTAAACATCATACCTGACAATTTTTTCTGTTTCCCACTGCTCTCCCAAAAACCCTACAGTTCATTCCTCCATTTTTTCTGGAGCTTTAATCTATATTAGAAAATGTTGACACACTTCTTCAGCTACATAAAAGTTCCACTAATGGGGATCACATCTAACTTCAGAGGGAAGGGACTTTGAAGAAAAATCACAGAAAATTGCAAATAAAGAAGAAATGAATCAAGGTAGAAAACCCAGAGCTACTTCCCGCTATTGATTACCAAGTATGATGTGAATTTTGCCTTTGATTTGAGTTACTGCTTAGCACAGTGAACGGATTTTAAGCAGCATATTTTACATGATCAGATACATGAAGAGCCTTGTTTTTAAGAGAGACATTGTTCTCCCTTTCTATTTATACAGTGGCAACACCTCAGATGATGACTCCATTGTACTAGGCCGGCGCAAACAGCCAGAGGGAGGCCACCCTGGCCCTGCAGAGCAAGCACGCCAACAATGAAGGTGGAGAAAGGAAATTTCCTGTTTTGCGGCAAGGGAGACAAGGTGCACAGAGGGGATGTGGCTCTTCAGGGCCGTGCCGGGCAGATGGAGTGAAAAAGCCTGAGCCTTAGTCTGTGGCTTCATCTCAACACAGTGACTGGGTTTGGCCATTGCTGCAGGCTGCACATCCTGCTGGGTGGTCACAGGATCACAGAATCAAATAGGTTGGAAAAGACCTCTGAGATCATCGAGTCCAACCTGTGGCCCAACACCATAAGTGCCATGTCCAGCCTTTCCTTCGACATCTCCACTCCTGTGACTCCAGTGGAGTGACTCCACTCCACCCCTGAGCAGCCTGTTCTAATGCCTAATCACCATTTCTGTGAAGAAATTCCTCCTGATGTCCAACCTAAACCTCTGCTGGCACAGCTTAAGACTATGTCCTCTTGTCCTGTCGCTTGTTGCCGGGGACAAGAGACCATCCCCCACCTGGCTACACCCTCCTTTCAGGCAGTTGTAGAGAGCAGTAAGGTCTCCCCTGAGCCTTCTCTTCTCCAGGCTGAATAACCCCAGCTCCCCCAGCCTCTCCTCATGGGATTTGTGCTCCAGATCCTACCCCAGCTTTGTTGCCCTTCTTTGGACCCTCTCCAGCACCTCAGTGTCTTTCCTGAATTGAGGGGCCCAGAACTGGGCACAGCACTCAAGGTGTGGCCTCAGATTCTGTACATTGCATCCTGCCCATCCCTGGGTCACAGAATCATGGAATCATAGAATTATTAAGGCTCCAAGTCCATCCTTTGACCAATACCACCACACCCACTAAACCATAGGGTGAGGTGCCATGTCTGCTCATTTTGTGGACACTTTTGCTCTGGCAGGTGCCTGGGGCAGCAGGGAACAGGGTGCATTGCCCAAGTGTACTTTAGGAAAGCGGGAGTCCCTGCAATATTTTATTTGAACTGATTTCCCTGACAACATGATTAGCGTGGTGAAACATCGCTGCTGCTGGGAATTGATGTTGAACATCAGCTGGGCAAGGGCTCACCTTGGCTGCAGCTGCCTGGCAGGGCTTGTTTCTCTGCAGTGACTGGGATGTTGCTGAGTTTTCAGGCATTCTGTAATTTTCCATTGGTTTCTAGTGAAACAGTGCTGATGCTTGTATTAAAAGACACCTCAGAGTCTCGTGCTGACTTTGTCCAGAGCTGAACTCATCAGATAATGTTTTCTCCCAGTTTCTGCCCTGCCAAAACAACATGTCTGACAAGCACACAGAAATCCATTCAGAAAGTGCATCTTCAAAGAAATCAGGCTACCAGATTAAGTGAAATAGATATTAACTCAGAAGCCTCTGAACTAGCTCAAATGGACTCTTCTGCTGGGAGAAAAGTCAAATTGTATGATTTTTTTTCTCTAATTTAAAAGGATTTGGAGCATTTTTGTGCATTCTCATAGCAACAGATTTATAAAAGACTGAGAAACTCTCAACTCCCTGCTTTGGTGTCACAAAAATGGAGTGAAAAAAATAGTCTGCATCATTTTAAAACAAGCCCAGTGAAAAACCAGGGGTTATTGGAATGACAGTAAACCAGACTGTGGCTGAGCATGTGCAGATGCATGTGGTCATTTCCCTGTAGCAGTGAATGAGCACATATTACCTGACCTTAAATATTCTCATGATAAAAACAGGTAAAAACAGGGCAGGTAAAGCAACCTGTGATATTCTTAGGGTGGTGGGGCACTGGAACAGGCTGCCCAGAGAAGTTTTGGGTGGCCCATCACTGGAAGTGTTCAAGGCCAGGCTGGATGGGGCTTTGAGCAACCTGGTCTAGTGGAAATTGCCACCCCCATGGCAGGGGGGTCAAAACTAGGTCATCTTTAAGGTCACATCCAATCCAAACCATTCTATGATTCTGTGATTCTTGGGTGGGTTTAGGCATTTTGTGCTGCACCCTCTGACTCATGCCAGTGGTGCGAGAAAGCTCTGGGGTTGAGCACTGGTTTAGCAGAGCTCCAGGGATGGGAACTCGGAGTTGCATGGGTTATAGAGGGGCCAGGGCTCCCATCTATCAACACCAAACTGGACTTTGGAGGTCTTTGCTGCTGACACAGGCCAGAATCATTAAGGATATCTCTTTGGCTGCTTTCTAACCCATCCATATAAGGAAAGCTGCATCGGGAGAGAAATTCAAGGGGGAGGTTGCTGCTGGTTTTAAACCCTCTCTGACGCTGCCCACATGACGTGAAGGCAGCACCCTGTACATCTGGGATGTGTAAATCTGTCTGCCCAGCTGCCTGGTAGTGCTCTGATGCACTGGGAAACTCATTGCAGTTAGTGATCACATCGTGTGCTCAGTTATGGCTTGTGGTGAAACAAAGTGGAAGGGAACAGGAAGCAAGAGTGGACCACACAGCTGGGTCCAAAAGCCAGAAGACACTGCTAAAGAATAACAAAAAGAACAATTTTTGTTTAAATTGCTAATATTTTTAGTGCTCTGAGCAAAACACCTTTTCTATTTTCCTTCTGCCTGTGTTTTTCTGCTCTTGTTCCACCCAGCATTTCTCACAAGGAGGCAGGGTATAAGTAAAATGCAGAAGGTAGAATAAACTCAGTTGCTTTCACCTAGTGCACTTTATCTGTCTGTCTTTTTCTTTGATCCCAGGGCTATCCAGAGCTCCTACATCAAAGAAGGAGGACAAAATCTATGTATAAAAGGGTGTCTACATGCTGGCTGTAGATGTTACACAACCAAGCAGGGAGCAGAGGCAAGGAAAGAGCTGTGCAATCTTGACTACGTGGGAACTGGGAGCAGGAGGTGAGGAAAGTGCTGCTTGGTGTGGTGTGTTTATTCCAGTCTCAGCTCTCAGCCTTACAGCCCCCCAACTCCCTGCAGTGATGCCCCTGTGCCAGCTCTCACAGTAGCCCCTCACCAGGGCTCTCCATCATCCGGAGCCACTCTGCAGGTCAGGGAAACAGCCCTGCCTCTGAACTGACCCAGTGCTGACGGAATATGGACACTTTACATAGCCCTTCCAAGGACTGTGTGATGCAGTGGAGACTGCAGAGGACCCTTTCCCAGTGCAGTTTGCCAGCAGCAAGCTCTGTGCACGCACAGCGTTTGCTTTCGTGTGATGTGCTCCTTTGCCAAGTGGCATTTTCCACAGATGCTGGCTGCACAGAGATCAGTCTGCACCTGCACGTGTGTGTGTAACCAAGGCTGCAATTAGCCCATTTGTTTGAACAACTGTGGTTTCAGCTATTTTTATTTTTTTTCCCCATATGCTCATAGCTCCTGTTTCTAACAATTTGATCTCCTGCTTATACCAAACCTGTGCTGCAAGAGATGGTCTGCAATTGCTGCCCTCTCCTACCATGCAAACTGAACTTGCTGTTCATTTCTTTCCCCTCTGGTATACAGCCACTTTGTCCGTTGTTTCTTTGGAAAGCTTTTATCATCATAGCAAAAAAGTAAGCTGTAATATCTGGGAGCTACATCTACTTTATTCTATAAGACTGAAAATATCCATGGAGAACAGGGTTTTCTCTAGCTTTGAACACACTTTTATACCACAGTGACAGGGCTGAATTTCACAGAATCATAGAACAAATAAGGTTGGAAAAAGCCACTAAAATCCTTGAGTCCAACTGTTAACCTATCAGTGCCATGTTGCCACTAACCCGTGTCCCTAAGTGCCACATCCACATATCTTTTGAACACTTCTAATAATGGTGACTGCAACACTTCCCTGGGCGGCCTATTTCAGTGCCTGACCACCCTTTCAGTTTGCTATGCTTCTTAGAGAGACGCCAGAGTAAAAGAGCAGCTCTTTCAGTGAATATAAATATATCAAGATTTAAAGACTTCCTGATCTTCCTGGAAAGTGACCATTTGGAGACAGAAGACTGGGAGTGACTTCCTGTCTTGTTTCATCCTTGGAGACGAATTAGATTGAAGACAGTGGTAGCCATGTACTGTAACTGGCTTAGTGACTGTTGAAATATGTAGGGATTAGAGATCCTTTTTAAACCAGAACCAGAATTTGAAGGAGAATGGAGAAGAGAGAGCACAGGCAGGATTACAGCTTTCTTGCATTGCAGGATTTCCCCCTGCCAGTTGGTGTAACTGCACCACATGGCATCGCTTTTAAAACCAGCACAAGAAGTGTGAATCAGCAGCAGTGGTGGAAATCCCTCTGCCTGAACCCAACAGAGACACCGCTCTGTGACAGAGGTATGTGAGGCAGAAGCCTGGCATGGGAATGGGATGGATGGAGCTGTCTCCCTGTCTGAGGTGCACAGAGCTATTTTTGGCAATTTAACTGCACAGTCAGTGATGATTCTGGTCTGATGCAAGCTGGTACACTTCTGTGCTGAGGCTCAGATGGCAAGCACTGCTGCTTGGTGTATATTCCTGAGTAATTTCCCTTTCAGTTTGCCATACTTCTGTCTTTTCTGGCTGTTTTTAAATCTGTCTCTAGTCCACATGCAGGGAGACATCTACAAGGTGGTGCTGCCTGTGCCACCGGGAAGGAACTACACCTCGCCTGAGATACTGAAATACCTTTGCCATCCTAAAGATTTATGCAGCAATTCTGCCTGAAGAGCAGGAGCCTGCTGCTCCCCTCTGTGCCTGGACAGGCTGGTTAGATATTCTGGTCCTGGTTTCTACACACAGTTTTCAAGAAACTCCCACTGTGGTGTCTTTCTCCCTGCCTCATGTACAAAGGCAACCCACCTCTAATCTGGTTATTAGAAAATCATCCAGCTCCATGGGTCAATGAAGAGTCAAAAGCATCATTTAATTCTTGAACTTTGCTGTTGGCCCCTGGCCATGGCTGGTGCTTGCTGGGAATCCAAAGCAGCTGCACAGAGAGGAGCTGTGATATGCCTGTGTGAAGGCAGCCCAGGGCCAGAGGCCAATTGTTTCCCTGAGTCGGTGGCATTTTTTTTCCCTAAGAATTTTGCTGCATTGTGACTTGCAGATCATCTTTCTTTCGGCCAGTGAAAGTGGCTGACCCTGATCCCACCACTGTCCTTGCTCTAAAGGACAGATCTTACCATCTGGGTACAAAGGAGGAGGGGGACACACTTCCACTGGGTTTATTCCCGGTTCAAAACATTACCAGGAAAGGCCTGATAAATCCCTTCTGAGAAGGTTCCTCCTCAAATGCTGGTGTCTCATTTCCCCCTTTCAAATTCCCTGCAGGGTCATCACTGGCGTTGATCTTGCCCTGGTGGTTCATGCTCCCCTGGCTTACACCTCTCCCCACTGGGGGAGAGACTTCCTGCCTCTGAGTCAGTGCGGCAGCGGGACCGGAGGGAGCAGATGGAAACAGAGATGGGCTCTGCTCACGCATCACATCCTTCCCATGCACACTGACATGGAGCAAAGCTCTGCCCTGACACACTTATTCACGTGCTGCGTGCTCACCCCACAGAACCCCAGGCTATTCCAACCACTGCTGCTCTGTGCTGGCTTGCAGCACCAAGATTCACGTTTAGGCAACAGTGGGCTGATTTCCAACACGGGGATCTGTAGGGCTCATATTACAGTGCTAAGGAAATACCCATAAAATATCATCTCATTAGGCACACTCGGTAGTGGAGGCACATCAACAATGAGTCAGATTTGCTGTTTGTCCCTACAGCTCATGGTTGAAGTGCTCTGAATAACAGCGGGGCTTCCCCAGCTGCGTCGTGTACAATGAGGAGAGGAAAGCAGGGAGGTGGTCAGTGTGCTCATGGCTTGGTCTGATGCAGTCCACTTCAAGTAATGTATCTTCTGAAGTCATAGGATCATGGAATCATAGAATCATAGAATGATTTGGGTTGGAAGGGATCAAAAAGTTCATCCCTCTGACCAACAAGGTGCCAAAACTAACTCAGCGACAAATGCTGAAAAAAATATAATATTTCTTTGTGTCTTATGCTGGCTTTTTTTAACGTGTGTTTTTAAGAGAATGGCTATTTCCTAAAAAATTTTCTTTTAAAGTCTCTAAAAGGGAGTGTTTTATTTGAAAGGTGAAACTGATTACTTTTGTCTAAAGGAGGAGCTTTAGGTGTTTCTTTGGAAAACATTGAATTGAATAAAATTATAGGGAGAAAAAAAGGAAGCCTGGTTTTAATCAGTTCTGTTGAAGACTGTGGCTAGTGCAATATAACCCAGAGCAGTGGGGGATGCCCCATCCCTGGAAGTGTTCAAGGCTAGGCTGAATGTGTCTCTGAGTAATCTGGTCTAGTGGAAGGTGTCCCTGCCTATGGTGAGGAACTTGGAATGAGATGATATTTAAGTTCTGTTTCCACCCAAATAATTCTATTATTCTGTGATATCTTTCATCCACGCCTCAGGAGGAAGGAAGAACATCTTTTGGCCCTGGATGGAAGATGTATGACTTTTTCTTCCTCCTGTAGCACAGGTTATGAGTGCTGCCCACATCCACCTCACCATCAAACTGCTTCCATGGGCATAAACTTTAAAATTATTCTTAGGAAGGTTATTACACGTGTGGACTTGAAAACATTTGACAGTTGTGCTGACAGGAGAGTTAAGAGACAGGGAAGTGTATCTGACAGGCACGTGCTTTCCATGCAGAAGCCTGAAGAGATGATAGCATTTATCCAAGTGGATATGGTGCTTGTGTCTCTGGACTCGTGTGGTTACGCTACAGACTTCACAGTTGCGTGACTGGCTGTGTTGCTCTGTGTGTGAAAAGATCTTTTGTCCCTTTAAACGTCACTCGCTGTCAGACTGAGGAAAAGCTTAGAAGCCAGTGTTGACATTTGTGCAAACAGATCTAGAAAAATTCCTGGTGAGGTTCCACTGATAAAAACTTTGGCCCTAATCTTGCAGTTGGATGTGTGTGGGCAGATGTGTGTGTTCCTGCAGAGCCTCTCTGGCTGCTGGGAGAGGACACACGTGTTTTTAAGTGAGCTATTGGCCTTGAGTTTTTTGCTGGACAAGGTCTTAGCAAGGGGGTTTGAAAGGCAGATGAATGACCGAAGAGCATAAAGCCACCTAGTTCTCACTGGGAACTGTACATCATAAGTGAAATACAGGCTCTTTTGAAACTCTAAAGTCACTTTATTATTTAAGAAGCATTGCCCAAATCTTTCTGATTTTCCAGTTTTTCTCCCTAAACATTTACATTATTCTATCCTGTTAAGTCTTACTTTGTTACCAATCATGAGGGCCTGAATTTTTCCCACAGCTGTTCAGGTAAATCCCTTATCTTCAACGAACTAGACACCACTCAGGTGAAGGATTAGATTAGCTCTGCATGGAAATAGAGAGATCCATGGGGTTTGCATGGGCATGTTGCATATGCAGTGATTCCTGGAGAATGCAAAATCAACTAAATTGCCTAAAAACAAGATTATGTTTAAGTGAATCTTGATTTTCACTTAAATCTTTTTGATGACAAATGAGCAGGCACTAAAATTCTAGTTGAATACTCAGTTTCAGGTATTAGGATCTGGGTTGTGTGTGTGCACCCGAATTTTTTTCACAGCAGTAGTGAGAACTGAGTGAACACAGTTGCTGTAAAATTTGTGACAGTGAATTTTAAGTGAGAACACATCACTTCTGCCTTTCTTAAAGACTCTGCTGCTAGAAAATGCCCTAGAAGTTTGTCCTTTCAAGGAGGCTGTTTGTCTGTCTGTCAGTGATACACATGGGAGCTGTGCTCTCAAGAGGTGCCTGTTCCTAAAAGATCTCCTCCCATCCAGGCTTCCCAAGGTCATGCTTCAACATGAGACTTGAAAATCTTACATGACAGCAAACAGTGAGACAATCTGGTAAGTACATTCAAAGGCTGAGTTTCTTTTTTCTATTGCTGTGTAAGTTTAAAAACGTAGAGAAATTCCATCAGCTTTGCTACCAAACTTAGTGTTATTCAGCCCACTCAAAAGTCTTCTCCTGCCATAGTGACTTTTGTGTAGATGCCTGAGCACTATTTCTTTGGTTATGTTTTCTGTTCTTTGATGTTTCAGCATTTCTGATGTCTCTTCTGATGTCTCCCAGTGAGTCAATGGAAAAGTCACGTTCATGGTATTGAAATCAGGAACTGGCTTTTTAGACCCTCTTCCTAATCTGAATTTGACACCAACTCTAATTCAAAACATATGCAACCAGAAGGGTAATAACAGCCTGGGAATGAAGGTTAACTGTCACCTTTAAAAGAACCCACTGTGCAGAGTGGGTTCTTGTGTTCACCCTCTCTGTACTCCACTGTGCTCTGGTCTGGGGATCCTTCTTTAGGATAACTGGCCCAAAAGGCTTAAGAGATGTTACTTTGAACATGAAAAAGAAAAACCATGAGCCTTGTCAGATGGTTTAAATTGGTGTTAGAGATCAGCCAAACGAGAAGAAAATGGTCATTTGGACTTCTGTCCCATTAATAAATCATGGGACCTTCACACTCATTAGGCACCAGCCTGATGTGGGCTGATGCCCCTTCTGTGGCTCTATCACCTCTCAAATGGCACATGACTGCTGTGATCCAACAACAAGTGACAGCCAAAGTTTAGGGCACTACTTTGAACTCTTAGATCACCCTGGCAGAACTTGCCCTTGCTCTGAACGTGAGCCCACGAGCTGCACGTAACAACGGATAAGGATGATTGCAGCTGACCTTGTTGGCTGGGATACTCTCCAGGCTTCAGAGAGATGTTGTTCATCTCACATATATTGCCTAAGTAAGGAGGGGAAAGGAAAAACAAAACACTTCAGGAAGAAGCTTTCAGAAGTACTAAGTTCTGCAGAAACTGAAGACTCATTTTCACTTCAGGAAAGAGGTGACTCTGGACCATTGGTTGCACAGAGATGTGTGTGTGCAGCATCTGGAACACAACGGGGATGCCATCAGCTGAGAGTAGCAAGGCTGAACTCTGCACAACATGAAAACCAGCCAATGCCTCCACTGTATACAACATACTTAGGAGAATGGCTCCGTTGTACCCAGCCCTCCATATTAAATGAAAGAGACTGCATTGTCCTTTCCAGGCACAGCCTGAATGCAAATCCATAAATACGGTTAATATGGCTGTTCTGCTTCCACAAGTTTGTTCTTACAGTCTCTACTTACTAGAATGTTAAGTCCTTAATTGAAATTCCACCTCCAGTGGAACAGCCCTCAGCTGTCCCCGTGAAAACAGAGTGAGTGATGACAGCAAAAGCATTGTGATGAGCTTTTCTGTGCTCTCCTGGTGTTTTTTGAAAATCTTCCATTATTTTGGCTAAGAGGTCAGTGCTGTTCTGGAAACTGTGCTTTTGATTCTCTATTATCAAGCAAAACATAACATCATTTAAAACAACTACCAAAATCAGAAACCAGTCCTTGCATATCTTGGGAAGGGCCTGCTTTAATAATATTTTTTCCAATGATTCTGTGACTCAAGCAGCACTGAGTTACCATACCCATCTGGCCATATATATTTAGGTATAAATTGTTTTTCACAGAGGAGAAGGTTTGCACATAATTTTACATGAAAGGGTGGAAGTTGTTGTAGTTTACTCGTCCTTCTCTCTCTCTCTTCCCTTTCTCTTCAGATTTAATTATTACCTTTTGTCCTTCTTCCTTTGACTAGTAACCTTTAGCAGGAAGCTCTCAGCTCACACAATGTAGTTCTCTGCAGAGAATTATGCGAGGCTTGAAGATAACTACAGGCATATCCATGAGAAGGGATAGGGTAGAAATAGGGTCCCAGGAAGCCTCCTGACTGCATATTGTCAGTTCAGGACCAGCCATTGGAAATAGGAAATGGCAGATGGCAGGAAAAAGGTAAATGACAGATATATCCCAGAGGTGTTGACAGGTAATTCAGGCTCTAATACTTTGCACATTTATAACATCTCACAAAGGTATGCTGTATTTCCTCCCAAATAAGGAAAACAGTCTACCACAGGCTCTACTATAGATCTGGTTATCCTTGTACTTTGTTAATGTCCTTAGGGGACTCATTTGCACCAATAATTAGTGTTCTAAAATTAATGGGTTTTTTATAGGCATGTGTTTACAAACACACATGCAGTCACACACACACATGAAAGACTTTCAGATGGACTTTGCAGGTTTACAGCACTCTCCTCACCAGCACTTAGCAGCTCTTTCCTGTGCCCACTGCCATGACTGGACTTAGTCCCCAGGTCACTTGCCATGAGCTGGCTTTGACCCCTTCTCTGACTGTGAGACTCTCTTGCTGTTTGAAGAGATTCCCCCCTTGACTCTGGTGGAATTGCTCCCTGTTTCCACAGTTTGAGGCTGTCAGTGATATTTTATAGCTCTGAAATTCACTGGGAGGAGGAGGAGGAGGAGGGAGGAAGAAAACACAAAAGCAGAGAGGGAGGAGGCAGGCAATACAGCAGACAATGTGGATTGTTTCCCAGCATCATCTAACAGCTGCTTTGAATGACTGAGAAATGACACTAGAAGTCTTACAAAGACACAATATGTGTCTCAATGTATAATTATATGGTTTTATTGTAGTGATATGGATAATTATCACAATTTAAAAAGAAAAAAAACTTTAATCTTCTCTCTCTCTTTTTTATTTTTCTTTTCATTACAGCTACTTCATGGATCATAAAGTATTATCTACTGCAGGAATTGGAAATTACTTGTTTTATACCATTGTTGTGGTTTTATTTTGCATCAGTCTCTACAAGTTGTTGCTGCATAATTGTTGAGAACCATTCACTGGCAAATAATACTGCTGAAGACTAAAGCATCTCTACACCAATTTCTGATGCACACACTGACTGTGTATGCCACTGTAGTCCCAGGACAGGCAAATCCTGCCTTGGGTGGCTCAGGCTGTCAGGATCTGACCTGGTCCCCAGCATTTCATTCAATGAGTGGCAATCTCTCATCTGATCCACGTGGGCATTTTATGGAGTAAAGTCCCAAATTTCAAGCCTTATAACTTGCACATATGTTCCTGCCACCCACCGTGGACTAGTAATATTCCAATTCAAACAGGCACTCTTGATTTTGCTTGCCTTGTACTGGGAGATAGATCAGCATGCTTGTTTATGTGAAATTTGGGAGAACAAAGGCTAATTTGATCCCACCCTTCCAACAGGTTATGTATTTTTTCAACCCTGCAGCAAATTTTCTATGTCTGTATGTTTTGGCTTTTAAACTCAATAACCTGCAGGCATCAACCACGTCAGCAAAGAAATGGAAAGCTCATTATTGCACTGTTGTAAGGTTTAAAACTTAAAACCAGAGGCTATAACAACAGTAAATGGGATATCACAGACATGCCCTTCTCCTTGAGACTTTCACTGAATTCAGGATGGAAGGATGCTGTGAAGATTGTTTTACTATGCCTGTGCAGTCTCCAACCATCACAGTATGCTGAGAGTAAAATGGCTTTCTTTGGATATTATTGTAGATTTTTATTCTACCAGATAAACAGGACAAAAACAGGCTTTGGGAGGTGAAGACGCTGTTGGGCCATGTGAAGGAACATTCATTCCTCTCCCAGTCTTGCTCTGGACTTGCAATGACTGTGACACAGGAATTTCTCCAGGTAGTTTATTTGGTTTTACAACTGGCCCACAGGTTATACTATGAATTTTAGTAAAAAAACCTGTATTCCAAATTTTGGACTGTTGGGTGGTCATTTAACGCCAATAAAAAAAGAGGTTCCCTTCTGCCCTGAGCTTCCTATTCTCTATTCCTCCCTAGTCCCTCTGGACTGTTACCTTGCTGCTCTGTATTATTTTTCCACACAGTCCCTGGCTTTGATGTCTGCAATGCTGAAATTTTTTTCCTCTAGATATTATTTTCTAAACCTTCCATTATTTTTGTGACCTTTTGGGTATTTTCCATTTCAAGAGCATTCTTTGTAAGACTGACTTGATATAGAGAGAAATAATTCCAATGTGGTCTTACAGGACATGTGTTTACACCCTGATAGCGTGTCTTTTTAACTCTGTAGTGTCCTTCTCCACGATAACTCTGGTGCCCTGCACAGCCCCAGCTGGCAGCCATGGGAGTTGGGGGCTTTCCCAGAGGTTTTTGGGTTGCTGTGTTGATGGGGAAGGCGGTTTCTGGAGGATGCTGCCACCCAAAGCAAAATGCCTCTGTCTGGCTCTGTTCCTGCACAACCAACAGTTTTAAGGCTTCATCTGCATGGATATCATCTGAAGGAAGTCTCCGGTATCCTGCACTGTTGGCTTCCTAAGAGGAAGAAAAAAAGCCTGCTTGGAGTGGATCCTTGGAGGGATTCAAGGTTCCCTCGAGGAATGCAGCCCTGAACCAAAAGCATCAGGTGCAGCTGATCCCAGTAAAGCTCGGGGCTTACGAGGGGCTGAGTCGGTCTCAGAGGATGGAAGGATTTCTGGCCCAAAGCCAAGGCCAGGCAGGCTGGAGGCTCCCAGTGCTGCTCTATCTGCCCTGGGTTCTTCGATGTGAAACAGCCACCAAGGCATGCAGAGGGTGGTCAAAGGCTTTGCTGGTTAAACACAAACCGTGGGTATAAAATCCGAATCACAGAAGGGAATCATAATTTTTGCCTGCTGGGCTTGTATATAAAGGAACCTCCAACATTTTACGTGATTTCCGTGTGTTCCAGACAGGTATACTGATGCTATCCTTTAACAGGCAAGCCCTAGAATGCGTGGCTGGCTGGTGTGGCTCACAAAGCCCTGACACATGGCCTTTGCTTTTCAAAAGTGAAAAACACAGTTAGTGCTCAGGGCGCTTCTGGAGTAAACATCATCAATGGTCTAAGTACCTTCAGGTTTGAGACAAAGCAGTTGCATTTAAAAATGCTCCAGAACTAGTGAGAAGGGCTGTGAGTCAGGGTATTGTTTCCCAGGGTTTGTTTCTACCAGAGTGCATGTTTTTTAGGAATTGCACGTGCTCTCCTGAAGTTTTCAGTTTGAGTCTGCAGGGGCCAGTGGCACCAGCTGGTGCCTGACCCTACGCAGAGGGGACGGTGCTGGATTGTTACAAATGAAACGTGCTGGTACTAAACAGTATAGGGAATTTGCCTCATCTGTTCAACACCAGGAATTAAATTGCTTTTCACTTCCACCCTACCAAAGAAAACTTATATCTAAACCTTCAGCCACTGGTAGTCTTGGCTGGCCAACCATGTATAATTAATGCAAAACCAAAGCGGGAGGATGATCATTCCCACTTCCCATAGGCTAGCAAACCAAAAGATTTGGATCACTTTAATAGGCCCTTAAGAGACACAGGAACAGCATAATTTCATCCGTGCCTGAGTGCTTCAGCACAGACACAACATTGAATTGATGGCAAAAGCGTGTGGCAGCAATTGCTGCCATGAGAGTCGCTCTGGAAAGAAACAGAAAAAATTCATTTAACTCCCGCACTTGCCGCCGTAAGTTAATTTGGACATGCCATATTCCCAGCACAGTTATAAATTTAAAAATAAGCACAGCCAGGGCTGTAGCTGGAGAGGGACTGGATGGTGCAACCGTTCAAAATGTGCTCCAGAATATACCAGAGTGGAGTTTACAAAAAGCTGCCTTTTAAATCTTATGCCTACGATCTATTTCTTTCTGGAACAAAATACGGTACTTCCTGCCTACAATATGAAGTGAGTCATAATATTGCCATTCTGCTCCCAGCACAACTGGAGCATACCTATGGTATGAAGTGGGAGAAATATTTGGCCAAGAAGAAAGCTCCAGAATTTTTTTTTAATGTACTGTCAAGACACGCTTAATAAATGGAGAGTATTCTTTCCATATTGCGTAATTCCGACTTTCCTCATTCTGGGGTTGTTTCAGCAAAACACGCAAGTGTGTACTTATCTTTAATGAGTGTTTAAGCCCAGATGACTGTAAACATACATAGGGGAAGGACTTTCCTTCCCATGCATGGGGGCAAACACAGGCTTACACCTGCATGGGGGCTGAATGGAGTCTCGCTGGCAGATATGGAAGGTGGCCCTCAGCGGCAGAAAGCACGTGAACTCGTTGTGGTCCACAGTCCACTCGTGTGGGAATGGACTCAGCAAGGCCGGGAGAAACAGCCTGAAGGGGAGTAAAGAGAAAGCCTGGCTGCCCAGCTGGAAAGGCTTTTGGGCAGAGGGTGAAATCCCTATCTCAAACATAAAAACAGGCATGTTTCCTTCAGCAGGATGGATTCCATTCCATGTCTACAAACAGACGCCGAAACAAAAATCACAATGTGATGGCTGACTGGGAACTGTTTTATCAAGGGAAACAGGGATTAAACCTTGAACTCTTCCAGGTGAAATATAAGGGCCAAAGAAACTCTTGAGCACACAAGAGGGCAGGCGGGGTGGGTTGTGGGTAAAGCTTTGGTCCGTGACACAGATGATTTGGCCGTGATTCCTGCCCTGCAGCTGTGTGATCCTCCCAAGCCTGTGTTTCCCTCCAAACAAAATGTGAGTATTGACACAAACCTGCTTTTATATAAAACCTGTGAGCCCTCATGTATTGCTGTGCTTATACTAGAGACTGTTTATGGGTTGAACTTAATGTTTACTTAATATATCCTACTCCTTGATGTTAAATTCTGTTACTATTAACTGCTGTGATGCCTGCTGCCTGCAGGGCTTTAATGATCAAGATAATCTAAAATAACAGTGGTTCATTTTATTTTTAAGCATTCAATAGCATGCAGTGAATTGTTTAACGTTGGGCAGCATATGCATTATTATGCTGTGCTTATGTATGAAGTGTGTTTTTTGACCAAACAGCCCAGAAACTTCTATTGCTCTTTGTAATGAGAGCTCCCAGAATTGGAGAGCTGATGAACATTTGAACCCTCTAGTGTGTGAAATAATAATGGCCAGCTGGTGCCATTTCAGTGGGGAAAACAGTGAGCAAATGGCAAAGATATGAGATTTAAATCTTGTTTAAAGCGTGCCACTGAGGACCACTAAGAAACTGCTTTGGATTGGTTTTAAGAGGATTTCAGAACAAAGGGGCTTCTCAAAAATCTCTGCCCTTTCAGAACAGCAACATTCCTTTCTACATGCAGGATCTTTGGACTTTGAGTTTGGGAGCATATTTTGGAAAACACATGGATTGACCACTGCTGGGACCCTCTGGAGAAATTAGGATGAGAAAAATGTCAGGAAATGCATGCCTATATAACTGCTCAAACACACTCCCTTCAGCTAAAATGCTAAATTGTTGCTGCTATGTTCATAAGGCAGCTTAGGGTGTCTGAGCAGACTCTGTTATTTAACAAACAGATGGCTGGAGTCAGACAGGTTATATCTACCTGGTCAATGATGCATTGGTATCCAGAAAGCCAGTGCTAAAGTAACCTGAGGATGAGTTATGGAAAAAGAATGTCTTCTTGTAATGACAGGAAGACACTGGGGACAAGTTAATTCGATCTTATGAATAATTTCATCATCATAAGCTTACTGTTCACTTTGTAATTACAAAGTGAAAGAGTATTGTCTGGGTTGTATCCTTTTGAAGTCAGGGCCATATCCTTTAGCCTGTGCTGCCATGTATGACTATGTTTCCTCCCTTGGAAAACGCTCCTTCCTTACCTTAGGGTATGTGGATGATGGGAAACCGCAGAGTGTTTTTTCTTTCCTTCTTAAACATTTTTCTCTGGAGTTTTTCCCACCCCTGTTCCTTCAGACATATTGATCTCCCTAAACTTACTTCTTCCTAGGAGATGATCTGTTTTCTTTTAAGACAGCTACAGGTCTGGGAAACACAT